TTCGGCTAAACCTGAATGATTCTAGTTCTAGGTATTGTGTTTAATTAATTGTTATTCAGCGTTGACGTCACGAACGGGCCTTCGGTCTATACACCTGTTCCCGGGATGTAGCAGTCCTCTTAGATTCTACCATACTTAGTATAAATATAAACCCACGTAGACTGAACGCAACGGTGTGGATAGCTGTCCGAATTTATGAAATTATTCATATAACGGACACTGTAATTACACCAACAAAAAATAATATTCAAAATTATTTTTAAAACATTCTGTATAAAATTTCGATTAAGTACTTGTTTGTGAGATGTTGTTGATGATGTAACTTGACGGTTAAGCTGGGTTAAAATATCCTCAATGCAGTCGTAAACTTCAGATGATTACACCAAAAACGACCGTGCTTAATTCAGAGGTTAACCTACATTTTGCTTGGACTTCTCCTCCTCTCAAAGATACTTAAGAGAGATGGAGATCTTCGCCGTTGAGTCTTTAAAATGTTTCGCAAGGGACGATTTAAAATCGCCATTTAATTCTTTTCCTTCGGGGATTTACGAGAAGAGAGGTACCAAAACAGCAAAAAAAATTGTTTTTATCGCCCAAGTATGGGGTGAATGGAGATGTTTATCTTTAAATTGAATAAAAGAATTGAAAGAATTTGAACTAAAAATAATGAACAAGATGATTGATTTGAAATGATTTATGAGAAATAATTGTTGTTATATTATTGCATTTTGTAAATCGTGACTAATTCTTGCTCAAGGAAAATGAATCCTTGTTAATTCTTCAAACATCATTATTCAAAGTGAAATTTTTATTTAAAAAATATGAATTAAAAACCTTGAAGAAGTTAAAATTGAAATGGGAAAATGAGGAGTGAAGGTAATCTTTTTGATGCCACGAAATCGACTTAATTTCATCTATAAATTTACTGTCAGCCATAAAATCTTGTTGTTGGTAATGTAATCGGGTAATAGCTCTTGGATTATATAACCAATTTAACCATGTGGTTCTTGTGTGTGTAGATTTTTTTCTTTCTAATCGAGGTATCTCTTCCATCGTAGATGTTTTTTATTAATTGCCTAGGACTAAAAGGTCGTGTGAGCTTTTAGTAACATTTAGGTTTTTTAAGAATATACAAACGTAATTATGTGTCAGTTGATTTTAGAAAGTTAAACGATGCTTATTTAATAATTATTGTATTATTTTTTGTCATTTAAATTCAAATTAAAAAAAATATATTTTTCTAACGTCACAAGCGACCTTTTAAGGTCATAACACGAAAACCCAATGAATCAAAACGTTATTAATACTTTTTCTAGCGACACTATATCTTGATTAAAAAAGAAACCGTAACTAAACTTCTTTGTTTGATCCGGTTTTTTTTCTTAATCAATTTGCGTATACCAGACGTTCTAGTTCAAAAGTGAACACCGTATTGAAAGAGAGAAAAAGATTTATGCTTGGGGATACCGGAACAATAATAATATTGCGAAAGTGCAATGTCACGACTTCGACTTTGGATAATTCCCAAAGAGACGGTCGGGTTTCGTGTTACGTATTTCAAAAACGTGACGTCGTTCGAGTCGATGATAGTGATCAATTTTTTTTATTAAATCGATCGAAATATGAGAATGCGAATCAATAAGAAGTTGAAAGAAAAAACTTCCAAAATTAGCAACGATAAATAGTTATTTTTTTTGTTGTGCTATATTTACGTCAATGGTGGCTTTGTGTTAGGTATTTGTTTTTATTGCGATGACATTAAGATAATGTTGTGTAGGAATCGGTTAATATCTTTAGATTTTTTTGAACAATGTTTAATTACAGATCAATGTGAAAATAGATCAGTCTAAACATCAATAAATGAACACTTTTTGAGTTATCATGTGAGAATGTGTTTAAAGTTTTTGATATACTTCACATCAAAAATGTTTATCTTCCCATTCATTCAACTCACCCAAGAATTTAAACCAGCAGACCACCAGAAACGTCGATATTTATGAACTAGGTTTCACAAAACAAAGAAGTGGGTGTTGATTTTTGCAAGAAAATCATATGAAGCGATGAAGCCCATTTTCATTTGAATGGGTATGTGAATCGCCAAAATTGTCACAAATCTACATGATATTTAATAAAAGCCAATGGCTGAAGGAATCATTGTTACATCATGAAACCAATAATTTGAACTTAAATGACATCTGGTTTCATCAAGATGGACCCACATGTCACACAGCACGTGGAACAGCCTCATTACTTCAAACCAAATTTCCTGCTCATGTTATCTCTTAGAGTTATCTCTCTGGGGCTATTTGAAGTCCCAGAGAGTTGAGATAACAAACCTTAACAAACCTGCTACGATTCCAGAACTAAATTCGAATATGCAGTAATTCTGGTTAGTAAGAACATTTGTGATTTGTTTGGATCTCATTTTGACGTTTTCTGCTCATTCTTTTCTGTCCATTCTTTCTATACCATAGTGATCTTCTTTCACACAACACGTATCTGATCACAATTCGTTCACATTTCACCACTCACTTTATAGTTCTGATTATTTTTATCATGGAATCTGAAGGAACCTCACTTCTATTTCGCAGTATTCATGGGAAAAACCTTGGGTTGGGTTGGAATACTATCGATTTCTTTCTCTGTCATATAGAGCTTTTTATGAACCGAATAAATTGCTTTCAAAGCATAATATCACTCTGGAACGTATTTAATAGTTCCTTGACGATGTCACTCTCATCTTAAACTGCAGCTGTTATAAATAAGAGTAGATTCACTACAATTAGCAGTACGATATACACAATTCATATTACTAATAGATATTCAGCTTGCCGAAGAATTTGGGTGCATTGCCAAAACACTTTTAGTTTGTATATTAAAACCAGAAATATTTAAATTCTCTCTAAACCTTCTTATAACATACAATCACAAATTTCTGTCTCTGTATGCAACAAAATATGACTTATAAAGAACTTTTCCATTTCATATAGCTCCAGAAAATGTGGTCTTTTTCTGTTTTTATCTAGTTACATTGCTCGTTGTGGGATTATTTTGCATCTACGACTTAGCATCACTACACGTTCGAGGCTTTAAGGTAATGAAGTGATATAGAAACGCAAATTTCATGACTTCTTGTTCGCACTGAACAAGCCTAGTTTCTTCGTTTTACTTTAAACATGATGTTCAAATTCGATTTCATTGACATCATATTGATGGTATTGACCGCAAGTGACCTCGGCTTACCCAACCAGAAACATGAGCTTTTCGTTCAAAGTTTAGCCAAGGTCGTTCGCGGCCGAGGCGCTTCAATATGTGCTGTCCAATACTATATCGATCGATATCATCAATGAAATCGCTTTGTTCGCAAACGACATCGCGACCTACTGAACCAAAGTTATACTTTTTCTTTCGGAATTAATAATGTGTTGCTCAATTGTATTAATATTAATATTGCATTAATACGAGGATTTCATTTAATATAAAATTATATTAATAACCTTTTTACGTACTGTACTGTGAGACAATTCTCACTGGTAGTTATTTAATGCATGTATAGTATATCTATTATTTATTCATTTGCAAATCTCGTTGAAGATATACAACTATTGTTTGATACTAACAATAAGTTTAATTTTATGCAATAAGTGTCAGAAGAGAAAGAGAAAACGTTTCTTTTTGGAAAAAAAAGTAATTTATAATTAAATAAGATTGATTTATTTTTTATTTGATACTTCTGGTAGTTTTTGTGTTAATCCTTGACAGTTAAATTTTGTTTAAACCTTGTACCAGATTCGGCCTCTAACTCATTGTCGGGTTTTTGGCACATTTTCAATTTGGGCATATCGACGCCAAAAATTGTTCGCGCTCAGAATCACCTTGTACCAATTTAACAAAATAACCATGTCAAAAATTGACCTCTAATCATTGTTATTGTATTAGACTCGCTCATTTTTTCCTTAATATAACATTTTTCCGTTATAAATCAACAAAAATATACTGTTAATATTTTGTATTAATTATGAAAGAAACTTAAAAATTTATTTTGTTTAAATCCATGTTTTCTCGTTTCAACAGTGAAAGTTGCATGTTTTCTCCGATGTAAAATCGATCGTATTTCACGCCTTCGATTTAATTTCCTTTGGTAATTCGTTGCACAAGATCTTGTAACAGAATAGAGTTATAATTTCTAATTTTTTGATTTGAATACTAAAATTGCAAAATTGTGTTAAAATTTTGATTTCGAAATTTTACGACATCCACTAAATTTTGGAACTTACCAGGACGTGCAAAAACATCCCATTGTTTTCACAAAATAAAACGACTTCGTAACTTTTTTGTCTTTATGACCTCAATGCAGATTCCCATTTTACACAACAAACCAACTGTGAGTCATCATAATAAACAAAAATATTTGGTTGACATTAAAATTTTGTACTAATTAAAATAGAAAAACCTTTCTAATTTTAGAAAACCAACACCCGTTCACAAAATTAATACATTATGCAGTCACGTTTTCGCATTCAGTCTTGCATTGTTCAATAGTTTTGAAAGTAAAAGACAAACAATAAAATTTTTGTTTTGTTCCCCATTTCGCACATTCTCTATTTTGAACCCATTTGATGTCGATTTTGTTTCAGTTTATGGAACATTCTTTCCATAAAACTCTTCCTGCGAAACATTCCGAATAAGCACTAATCTCTTCCTTCTTTACTAAAACGCCAATTAGTCCCGGAGAGAGATACTCAATTTCCGGAAATGCCGAGTGACTCTCTCACGTTACTCGTTCGTGAACAAAGCTCTCGTAAGGTAAACGCGAAAAGAACGCGTTTCACTTTTAATTGAAGCACCTGCGAAACACTTACTTCCTGACACACGAAATTAGAAATTTAGTTCAAGAAAATTATTTTTTAATACTTAAAGTTACTTCTTTGACATTAATTTAAGCAACGATTTAAAATGAAATTAAAATTTTTTGTTATTATTATTTTTTTTTGTTGCAGATACACAATCATATGACTATCGAGGAATTAAAGAGTACATTTCATGTGGATGATCATAGTTTAAGTAAGTTCATTTAATTATCCGTTAATGACCGATTTAACGTCATCTCCTTGGCATTTATTTCTTAAAAACTAAAAACTTCCAACTTCCTCATCCTTATCCTTTTTTTAAAAATATCTTTCTTAAATAACAATTAACATAAACATCGTAATTTTTTTATAACATTTTTATACTTTTATTATTTATTTACTTACATTAAAAGAAGATTTTTCATTCCTTTCCTTGAAATGACAATTTTTATGTAACAGCTTCTTACATAATTCTTTTAAAAAAGATGTTATATCCACAAAAACATTTTCAACACAAAAGATACACATAACACACGTACAATAATTCGCATTGTCAATATATTTAAATATTAATTTTTTTCTTAACTGAATGAGATTCGTGTCAGTGCCATACATCTTAATTTTTTAACATTATCATTTTTTAACCTCTTTTTTATGTTTTTAGTTCCTGAATACGAGGTGATAAACATAAGCCATTTGAAACAGCGTAATAAAAGAAGTTTAGGATCATCGCAAATTAATAGTTTAGAAAATGACGAAGAAAAATCAAATAAAAGTGATTCAAAAAAGTCGAAAGAAAAAATTCTTAGTGATGATATTGATGATGATAGAACTAGTTTAAAATTGCGTGCTTTTGGTAAAGATGTTCATTTAAATTTGGTGCCGAATAATGGATTGTTCAAGAAAGGTTTGAAATTATGGACCGTTGAACCGAATACCACCTCGCAACACGGAGTCGAGTATGTTGAATTACCAGAGGTAAGGAAAATGTTTTCTTTTTTTTATTTAAAGTATTTTGTTATATAATCGTTGAGAATATTTCATTAGGTTGGTGGTAATAAATGGGTTGCAAAACTAAAAGTAATAACGTATATTGTCCTTGCATTTCTAATACCTACCATGGCAGATTTACGTTAAAATTCCTTTGGTTTTATAACCTTAACGCTTATTGATTTTATTAATTAAAATGAAATAAGTTAGGAACAATTAAAAATTTAGAAACATATTTAAAATTGTTTCAGTGTTAAAATTATCAAAAAAAAATGTAAATGTTTAAAATAATTCTGAAATTGAATTAAAATCTTTTGGAAATGGTGCAAATTATCTAAATCGTTTAATGAAAATTGTTAAAATCATTTCAATCTCAAAAATTTGTTTATAATTAAATAAAAGATTCAAAATCATACAGAGTGTCACAAAAGTCTGGTAGCACTGTATATCACGGTTGTTAAAACAGAATGGAAGCACATAGAGACTTGAAATTTGGTATAAATTTTATTCAAACATTAACTAACAACAATGGTCAATTAAAGTTCGAAGTATCCATCATTCGCCTTCAGAAAGGCCGTTTTGTGGTGCTGAATCCTGTTGGAATGTTCGTTGAAGTGAGGTTGGCTCCAAGGAAGCACTTTCTTCAGCAGTTCTTTCTCTACTTCAAGAAACCCAATTTATTCGAACCTCATTGTACTAAAACTGCAGAAAGATTCCTTCAAATGCCAAACCAATCAGAAACTTATAAAAATTAAATCTATTTGATACAATGTCATAAAGTGTCACAAAATGTCCCAAACAATTTTATCCAAAACATTTTTTAATTTTTTATATCCTGAGTACAAGTGTCATGGAAAGACTTCGTGTATCCAAAATTAAGGGTACAAAGGAATTGTGATCTCTAGCTTTAGCATTTAATTTAAAAATCGTTTATGATATAATAAAATCACCTTAATCCCTTAGAAAAAAATATTTATGGATTGATTTGATTATACCCTTAAACTTAGTTTTTAACCTTAATTTGGAATATAAATCTTAATTCTTAAAACTATAGTTTAAACGATTTTTTTATATCTATGGAAATTTTGTTAACCTTGACCTTAGTCGATTGAGTTCAAATCCAGGTCGTGCCTTAAATTATTTAAAAGTGTCACCGTCTTCGGACGTTAAACCATAAGTTTATTTCTTTCTTTTACATTATGTAACGAGTGAAATTTCATAACATCACTTCTTATTTCATACTGCGTCGTTCATATTTGAATACCAATTTAGAAATTTGAATAACACATCATGTCCTCTTTTGAATATATATTTTTAAAGGAAACCAATATTAGAATATGCTAATTGTCACTATTGTCTCAATAATCTTATTTAAAAGAAGACTTTTAGTTTCTTTTGCAATTATGTTCTTGCAAAATTGAAAAAAAAATTAGTTATTCAACTAAATCTTTATGAAACAGAAAAATATATCCTTGATTTTCCAGGTTTAGTATTAATAAAAGTAATAAATAATCCTATTTTATTCGTTACGCCTCGAGCATATCGAAGCCGCTTCAACTAAGTAATAAACTTTTTTTTTTTGCAAACGCGTCTCTGCGAGCGGCGCAACTTTAATGGGTTTTGATGTACCAAATAAGCGATCGTTGAAACGAGGTAAAAGAAAAAAATCTTTACTCGAAAACTCATATGTTATATAACAAAATAGGCGAGGAACCCTTGCATAACATCCATTCTCAACGCAAAACGAGAGAGAAAGATAAGTTTTATTACAGTATTGACCGTTGTTGTTGCTAAACATTTACGCGGCGCTCCTAAATGAGTTCTGAAAACGTGCCAAATTTACTTTTTAACCCTGCTAATTCGTGGGAATGCGATAACATCATCCTATTCAAATACCATTTACCTAGTTTGGTGGAAAATCACCAAACAAGTTTGGTTTTAAAATCTTAAATGCTTTTAAAACAAGAAAATCGAAGGAAATTGAAAGTTTAAAAAACGAGTTTTTTGGTGATTTGATATGTGGTTGTTATATAAAAAAAACAATAATCGTACGGTTTCTTTCTGGTACTATTAAGTGGCTTTAAATATCCTTTCGTTTCATGTAACTCCATCGTTAAATTTTATGGTCCAATGACTTCGGGAAAACTATACGTATTTGGGTGGGTTGGACAAATCTACTTTCTCAGAATAGGCGGAAATATATGTTTTTTTTTGTTATTCTTGAAAACATTTGTCGATTGTAAATTTTAAACTTTCTTAATTGAAACAATTTAATTTAGTTAACAGTGGTAATAACGTTGGTTTATTTCCGTCAAAAATAAACGTTTCTGTTATGCAAAAAGGAGGGCGGTAAGGACACGTTGGTCCATTGTCTGCAAAATCGTGCCGATTGGGCAACAACGAACGTTGCTGTGCTTTTACGCAGAAACCAAACGAAACCGGCTGGGACACGGTCTTGTGTGCTGTTGCTGTCATATGGTCTTGAGGTATGAATGCTAAATTCGACATGAGAATTTCGCTCTGTGGCAACATTTTACACCTACGCTCAACCTATTTCAGATAAAATCGATTTACCTTTAAGAAATTTAATGAATTAAAAGTTGTGTAATGAAATAAATCTATAACCTTAATTAGCGGTATTAAAAAGAATTCAATAGTACAATTGGTAGTAATAAAATCTTGTTAAAAGAACGATTACGAATCGATGTAGAGATAATTAAAATCAGATAAATTAAATTCGTCCTGTTAGTTCAGCACGAGTTAATCAGATCGTAAGCGAATAAAGATAAGTATCGAAATCGGCAGTAAAAGTTAATTAAAACCATTGTTCTTTGAAGCGTTTTACTGATCGTTGAGAATTCTTTGGTAATTCATCGCGTGCCGCTCGAACAACTTCCTACTAAATACCTTCAGGAGGAAGTTGCGTGTTCGGAATTACACCGCCCGAAGTCATCGAATCGATTTATGTATTTCTTTTGCATCGAAGACAGAAACATTTAGGTCAATAAATCATATGACTTTTGTACAAAAAGTACATTAAAATGATTAATGGTTTCGACATTTTATTATCTGTCTTCTCTCATTAAAATAATGAATATTTTGAAAATCGCTGGTTTACCATGGTTTCTTGTGAAACATTCATCGAGACTAATTCGCTCGCAAAAGGTAAATAACCAAAAAATTGCGCAACCGCGGGTGCAATTGAGCGAGCAACGGAAAGCGAAATGCAGCTAGTGAAGAAATTTTGGTTAATTACAGTTATCCATTTGAACTGAACCGGAATATGGTTTAACGTAATTTTAAACTTAGTCTATGCAACGCAATTATTTTTTTTACTAATTATAACACAAATTATGCGGCTAGAGTTTAGAATTTTGCCAATAACGGCCTTGATTTGTATAAACGTTTTTGAAATTTAATTTTTAACATCTTTGAAATATAGCTTGATAAATTTTTTCCCCAAAAGCCAGAAAACGAATATTAAAGAGAGATAAAATAGAACAATAAACTAGTTTAACTAAAAATAAAACTAAAAGAGCAAATAGATATAGGATATAGATATAGATATAGGAGCAATAGATATAACTGATTTATTGTATTATTTTTTGTACAAATTCAAACATCTGTCAAAAGTTTTTAAAGTTATCTACCAATTTCTAAAAATGCATTCTCGTTGTAATAGTTTATACAAATAAAGTTACTACGTCTAAAGATGGTTCGTTACAGCCTAGCTCATTTATTATCTCTTGTTTCCAATTTTCCCAAATTTTGCCAAAAATCAAGTAAAAGTAACAAAAGGAAGTATCATTATTAATCCTAGTCAAGAAGATAAACTCTTTAGTTGCTATCACCGCTCGAATGACAGTATTAGATGGTTTCTGTTCAGAAGGCTAACCATGCCAGTGAATTTGACTGATCATAATTTTGAGATATGTAGATACAATACCAACCATCATAAGACCGACACCAGCTTCATGTTCGTGTTTGAAGAACTTTTAAAAATTAATACATCGTTTTGCAAACTTCCAACAGAATTCTTACATCAAATGCATTAACCTATGTCGTACAAAAGTACCATCCGTATTGGGAGATAATGTTTTAAGCGCAAATATTCTCCGATATATTTTAAGAACATTGTATTCTAATATTATTTAATATCATTAACATTACATTTAATATAATACAAAAATGCGAAGGATAACTTAAAGTTAAGATTATCAATATGTTTGAATGGCAGTAAATTCTGTTTAAGTTAACAACGCCTTAGGATTAATATTATAAAATGAGCACTTAATGTATTTAGGAACTTTATATAAACTTATCGTTGAAATTGAAATTTATTAAGACTAAGATAACTGTTATATTTATAGTATGCATTAAGTGTATAGACAGTTGACCAATTTGCTAGAATGCGCAGTGTTTATCAAGTGTCTTTGACATACTTAAAAACACGTCATTCTGTATTTATTAACTTGAACCAAAGAGATTATGTAGATGACAACTTATTGGTTTTGAATGATAACATTGTTGCGTACCAAAAAGTTTTCTGGAACTCCGGCCTCTTGGTTAATTAAAACAGTGAAAATTAATTTCGCACAGATATAATATTTTAGATCAATTTTTTGCTTCTGTCTTATGTTCAAGTACCTGATAAGATATTGCTAATACTATCATGACAATGTAGAGATACTTCTGTTTCTCCTAAGTTTTCCTTTACTGACTAACTTAAGTTACTATGCTTGTCTTCTTTCCGCGGTTGATGTTTTCTTGTAAACAACTGCATCAACTAATATTAATTAGCAACCTATATCTGTACTCCCTTTTCTGTGCAAAATACTTGAGAAATTCAAGATTTTTAAACCTTGGCTTCATTGCTAGTCTATGTTAATGAATGTCAAATATAATTCAGTCTTGAGGGATAGTAGATGTCTAGCCAATAATACTTCTGAAGCTCACAAAGTTATTTTATTTACTTAACCACTTCTTCCTTCACTTTTTTCACTTCTTACTTCTCTCTACTACATATACAATGAATATTTGGAGCTATAGCCATAGAAATTGTCATTTGTATGGTGATGATACTGAGTTGTGCAGCTCGTTTTATGTATCAGACATGCAAAAAGTTCTATGAGTATTGTAAGGGATCTAGATGGTATAAGTTGTTTTTTGAGGGATCATGGTTGCAGGATAAATTTTCAAAATATTGAAGACGTGTTAAATTTAAAGGAGTTATACATAATCTTAACGAGGTGAGGATATGTTGCTGGCTACAGTTTTAGTTTAAGTATGTTATCTTATCTAACGATGAATTTACTACAATGCCCGAGTTTTTTCACGTTATGGGGGCTCAGATATTAGTGTGTAAAACTATAAGAAGTGACTGGAAAAAAAGTTTTTGATATTATATGATAGATATGCTAGATTGTGTGATATTACATACATAAGCGACAACATAATATTTTAAATAATAAATTCAGGTTGGCGAGGAAGAGTATCTCTTGGCCTGGCCATGATCTTATTATTGGGCCGACTACTGTTGTTTTGTTCTTTTGTCGCTCCGGTTAAACAAGGTTGATTGTATTTTCTGATGTTATCTTTACTAAAGTCAATAAACGTGTTGAAATTGAGAATCACATTTGATTTAAAAACTTCTCGTGCTAAAATAAAGGAATTAGATTTCAAAAAAGATTAGTCTGAGAACTTTCGTAAATTGAGAAATGACTGCTAATCATATTTCACTGATTGCAGCTCAACTAGCTAGTTTGGACACACTAAACTCCGCAGCAAACTTTCCTTCAAAATTAATCTTAACACTTACCTCAACAACTACAATTATTTGCACAAATTTTTTGGAACTAACTCCAAAATATCCAATAAACCAAACCATATCAATACCAGGAAATAGTTTATTGACCCCTTTGTATATCGTGAACAAAAAATTTAAATACTTACAATAATTTTCATTGTTTGCGAAATTATTGAAACAACATTAGAAAATGTTAATAAATATCAAAGAGGTTAGCAAGGTTATAGCAATTTTCTCTCGGGGTATCACGTAATAGTTTAAATCGCACGATTACGTCGGAGAAATGCTCGCGTGAGAGTGAAAGCATCTTAAATATTGCTGCATCATTTCGTTCTTTTACATTTAAGTAACAAATCGTTTTAAATTCTTTATAACAATAATTTTAACAGTTCATGAATGGGGAGATACTATCGATGGGTCAAACGAGAAACTCCCCTAATAAATCTTTTAGTTTCTAATTTATTTGAAGAGAGGAATTTGCTTTACATATAGGGAGTGTTCAGATATCCAAAACCATTAACTCAATTTAGTACCGTAACATTCCGCTTATTCGATTTATTCGAACTGTACGATCTATTCGATTTATTAAATCTATTATATACATCTCAGCCTTAGCCTACGCGTTCTTGACTTTTCCATCGAAAATTTCCTTTGTGTCGTACACTTAAAAGTTACGTTACTACAACAATAGTACGTGACTGGCGTGCTTTTATGGACCATAGCTATTTTATTGCTCATACGATCTGGATTTGCAATCGAAAACGTTTCTGTTAGAGCTTTGATCGTTTTTAAATCAAACAGTGGGTGGTATCACGTTTAAAAAAAAACAAATTTTGCTTCTGTTATACTTGTTAAGAAAAATATAAGTTATTAGCTTTCAATTTGAATTTATTATGTGATATGACTCAATTTTGATATTAATTCATAATATAATATTATTTTATATAATTTAAAGCCATTCAAAAAACCATTAAAATCATTTGTAAGCGTTTAAAAATCCTTAATCTTGTTTAAATCGCTTAAACTTGTTGGAAATTAGTTTCAAAACTCTTTTATAATGCTTAATGATGACCTGAAGAAGTTTAAATCCATCTTGAATCGTCTAAATCACACTAATTGGTTGGCTTTTAAGATTATTACTTAAAATGGCTTAAGATTAATAAAAATCAATGTAAAAAAGATTTAAAATGTTACGATTTGTAAAAGGCCGTCATAAATCATTAAAATTGTAGAATATGTTCAAATAAATTCTAAATTATTTTATAAAGATAGTTTAGTAGCTTGCGGTGTAGAAAGCTTGTGTATGTCGTTATCTAACCAACGCACGTTGTATGTAAAATTGAAATTGAGAGCGAATCTGGTTTTAAATCGAAAGTTGTTTCCTTTTGTATAGAAAATGGTAATGACCTTTAAACGAAAATAATTTTTTCTTATTTTACAGAATTTAAATGAAAATATCGGCGATATATATCAAGATGAAGATAATCAAGCCGCAATTTTGTTGAGAAACGATGACAGAAACGGCGCCTTATTAGTGGTAAGTAAAAGATTTATTACATATTTTCTATAGCAAGTATTTGAAACAAGGTTATTTTAACGCCCAAAGAAATATATATAATTTTCAATTAAAGAAACGCGATGTTAACCTGGTTTTCACAATTTCGCAAACGCTAAATTGAGGTTTATTAAATCGCGTGGCGTTGCATTTAGTTTAATTGTAAAGATTTTTTGCGACTATTTAAAGTTAAATCGTCGCGCGGAATGAAATTCCAAGGATTTCTTTAGGATTTGTATTCTAAATTTTAAATCGTCGTCTTTCATTAAGTTTTGCACGTGGCGTAGGCGAAGAATTAAGAATTAGGGTCAATCGTCCATTGTCTTACTTTATACTTGAATAACAAAAAAAAAACTTTGCAAGGAGATATCGAAGATTTAGGATTTCACCGGCTATTATAATTTTATCTGATTTAAATGGGGAAACTATCGGGACAATAGTAAAAGGATAACAATGTATAAGAAATTTAAAAATATATAAGAGAAATTCAACGAACATTTCATTTTTTAAGTGGGTATTTAGTTCATTACAGCGTAAGTTAAAAGATTGCTGTTATAAAGTGACACAAGTAGGGTTTTAAAAATCTAAAAAAGAGGAAACGACAGTTGTTAGCACAACACGACAATGGATTTAGTCACCGAGTATGCTTGGTTTCTTGATTGCAAAGGAAATGTGTCGTTTCAGTTGTTACGAAATGTAACAACAAGAACAATAGTGGTAACTGTAATAAATTTATTAATGCAATGATTACATTATTAAATCAATCTATAAAAAATTGTATTTTTTGGACATTCAGCAAACAGTTATACTTTTTATTCGCTGATATAATAATTAATAAGCATTTTATTGTTTTTAATATTTACAATTTTTATCCCCTTAATACATTCTAATATATATTATTAGTATATTATTTTCACCCTCTACCCTCTTCCTCCATTTCCATACCCTCGGCTCCTCGGCCCAATCATCCCCTCATCCTTCCCTTTGTCTCCTTACCCCCACAACCATTCTCATCCATCGTTTCCCCTCTCCCCCCTCTCCTAAGATCTGCCCTCGGTCCAACTCCTCCTCCCTCAACTCACTGCACCCATTCAACATATGTTCCAACGTTTCCCATTCCTCCCTGCATAGCCTACACCACCTCTCCTCATCGGCCATCCAGTATCTATTAGCTCTCTCCTCGTTTCCACAACGGAACCTAGCCACCAACTTCTTCCCTTCCTCATCTCCTTCCAATAAATCGCTGATATAATATTGCTGGGGTATATTATAGAGTTAGAAGAACGAAATTTTGGGTAATAATTTGGAAAACCCGCTTTTTGATATTTTGATTAGATTTTGACAAATTAATTTTTAAGGGCAACCTAAACAAATTGAACAAATAGTATTAGATAATCACCATTTATGTCGATTGTAAACGTTTATTAACACTAGTCTACAGTGGTTTTGTTGCCCTAGATATAAGATTGATTTTGGATATATTTATGCTCAGAATTCATGAAACTATCAATGATTTTGTAAAGTACTTTTTGTAATTCGCGACGGTAATGACAGCTATTACAGTACTCAAACGGGTGCTGTAATGAGACTCCTTACAGCATCCGATGCTGTAATGAGATTTTAGTAACATTTTATGGAACCAGTTCAAGTTGGTGACATTGGGTCATTAATTTTTCTAGTTGTCAATGTGACAATTTTTGTCTATGGATGTTTAAACACGTTCTTAGCATCGAATACAAGGTCCACAATGATGAGGACATTGACTCTGAGCAATTTCTCTTATTTTGGGAGGTGTACATCAAACATTTTTTTCAGGTGAATATATTTTGTGTTTTGACAGTTTCTAATTGTCAATTCAAAGTTTCTATTTTCAAGTGTTCCGGTGTTACCAACTGCTACATACCTATTTCCCTACATTGCCAAAATTTACTTTATTTTTGTTAAAAAAAAGTATAAAAACGCGAATTACAAAAAATAGCATAAAAAACACGTTTCATAAGACTTAAAGCACTCATTCATTAAAAAACTCGTGGCTTCGCTAGTCGTTTTTCAACTTGAATTCGTGCATTTCAAGCGTGTCTTACGAAACTTGTTTTTTAATATACTATTTCATTTTACATTACAAAAATCGGAAAATAAGAAACAAAATAACAGATATATTTATAATGTCAGTTCTGTTTTGAAAAATTAGTATGCATCGAAGTATATTGCCATAAAACACCTTTTATAAGCTTTTCTTATATAATTTTTCAGGGGGCAATCTCTTTTTAAAGACCAGCAGTAATCTGCCATCATGTGACAATCCCATCGACCCTGATACCTTTCCTCCATCACTTTTAGATCCTGGTGGAACCGCTCTCCCTGTTCCTCACTATAATTTCCTAAATTATCCGGAAATTTATCCAGATGATTGCGGAGATATAGTGTAACTTGATACTTATATTTGCTCCTAGAGTCTGAAGGTTTGTCAGCATATTTTGTACAATTTCTTCATAATTTGGTGCTTTATGGTTACTTAAGTACTTCAATATTGTCAAATAACTGAGATCTCAGCTGTTCTGCGGAGCAAGAGGTCTGAGAATGGGGATCACGTGATGTTTATATTCGCGAAAAAGTTGTGCAGAAGCCTAATCATGACTGGGAAAATAAATTTTATTACTAACAAGCCGATAATTGTTCGAAATGTAAGATATGTAAAAATCATAAAAAACAAGAGCACATTCAGTACTTTCATGAATATATTCGTAATCTGGGCACTTGAAAACAAAAATTTGCAAAGATATCCAGTTGTTGTTGTAGAGTTGTGTAATTAATGGCAGTTTTTATAAAGTTTGATTAATGTCAACTTAAAGAAACGCTAATATTATACCACTCAGAAAGCAAGACTTCTCAATTAACGTTATATTTTACCTCAGATAAACTAAATAATTTTTATAGCAATGTACTCATCGGGTTTATGACGATTTTATGATAATTTATCAATTACTATTGAGCTAATAGCTTCTACAATATCTTTTAAATACTGTTATATATAATAATTTAATATTTTAATCTTAAATATTAAATTAGGAGAAAAAAATTATTGACACACCAATCAGATTCGATTTCAATCTTTTAATTAATCGGTTAATTTAGAGCTACGCGATAATGAAAAATTAGTCACCAACAATCAAGTATAAAAAAGAGAGAAAAACCAAGGTGAACGCCAACAACTGTTACGCTACAATTACATCGCAAGACGGCATAAATTAACTTTTCGGTCTGATCGATTATAATATAATAGAATAATAAGAAATGAGAATAAGAGAACCGGAGAGGAAGGTCGTTTTTTAATTTCACGTTTAGTTTCGTTTTTGTGAACGCCGAGTATCGATTGCAGGAGGACAATATCTGAGTAGCAATAATATATTTGCCAGTTTATCGTAACTTTGACCTCAATTTTTTTTTTATTTGGAGAGGTGAAATGAAAAAATAAAATAAGAACTTTTCATCGTCGTCCACAACGCCTGTGTTGAGGTGTCAATGTCAGCGCATGGTAGGCAATGAACCGGGTCGTAAAGGCGCGAATACAAAGCCTCTCAACGAATACGTCCTTCCTCTTAACACAGTAAAGCATGTTACAACCTTAGGCTGTACTGTATTATTTGAATGCCGATAACAATGACTTAGTTTCTTTTTCTTGAATAAATGCAATAACATTGTACATTCTTATTGTTTTTTTTTATTTAAATATATGTTGTTTTAAGAGATCTAAAGTGATTTTCAAGGATTTTAAACAATTTTCGGTAATTGTATGGCACGATTATACTCTATACAGTGAATTTCACTTAAAATGCAATATACAAAAATATATTTCCATAGAAACCAGGGCGTACTTACTTACTTACTTCGTCCCACATAAAATACAACATGTCCGTATGTTAGTTCTAGTGACAGTGGTAGGTAGCGCTAGTTCACATAAGATGTCACTATGTTCCATATTTTTATTAAACTAAAACTAGAACTAACACTAGACCTATAACTAGAAAGTATCGGGTTTAGCCATGCGTCTGAAGACGAATGTTTCTAGTTTTAGGTCTAGTGTTAGTTCTAGTTTGACACTAGCACTATCACTAGAACTAACACAAGACCTAGTACTAGAATCATTCGGGTTTAGCCGTCATGAGAGACGTGCGGCTAAACCCGAATGTTTCTAGTTCTAGGTTTAGTGTTAGTTCTAGTTTTACACTAGCACTATCACTAGAACTAACACAAGACCTAGAACTAGAATCTATCGGGTTTAGCCGTCTTGAGAGACGTGCGGCTAAACCCGAATGTTTCTAGTTCTACGTCTAGTGTTAGTTCTAGTATTGCACTAACACTATCACTAGAACTAACACAAGATCTAGAACTAGAATCATTCGGGTTTAGCCGTTTTGAGAGACGTGCGGCTAAACCCGAATGTTTCTAGTTCTAGGTCTAGTGTTAGTTCTAGTTGTACACTAGCACTATCACTAGAACTAACACAAGACCTAGAACTAGAATCATTCGGGTTTAGCCGTCTTGAGAGACGTGCGGCTAAACCCGAATGTTTCTAGTTCTAGGTCTAGTGTTAGTTCTAGTTTTGCACTAGCACTATCACTAGAACTAACACAAGACCTAGAACTAGAATCATTCGGGTTTAGCCGTCTTGAGAGACGTGCGGCTAAACCCGAATATTTCTAGTTCTACGTCTAGTGTTAGTTCTAGTATTGCACTAGCACTATCACTAGAACTAACACAAGACCTAGAACTAGAATCATTCGGGTTTAGCCGTTTTGAGAGACGTGCGGCTAAACCCAAATGTTTTTAGTTCCAGGTCTAATGTTAGCTCTAGTGACAGTAGTAGGTAGTGCTAGTTAGCATAAGATATCACTATGTTGTATATTTTTATTGCACTAAAAGTAGAATCAACACTAGACCTAGAACTAGAAACATTTGGGTTTAGCGTCTGATGAAATTCC